CGTTTGGTCCTAGATAATTGGAGGCGCGGAAAATCCTCACGTCCCCCCTTTGCAGTTGGCTGGGGTTGGCACTGATTTGCGCCTAGGCTCGCCTTCCCCCTTTCGTGGGTTCCTTTGGGAAGTGGTTTTCCTGGCAGCCTCCCTGGTCAGGTGTGTTGGCATTTAGCATCGGCACCTGGAGTTTCCTCCCGAGGGCTGGCTGGAGGGCTCGGCATTCGAGGATTCCCAGTCGAACTTCTGGAGGAGCAGTTTCCTGTTTGGAGCGACACTTCCTTCTCGGAGGGGAGAAAAAGTACAGGGCCACAAGGTTGTTTTCTGTGCCTTCCTCGGGTTTGCTTTTGGGCTTAGAGAAAGCTGCGCTGTGTGGCCGCGGTCTTTGAAAAGGAGTTTTGTTAAGTGGTGTAACAGTTTGTTTGTTTGTTTGTTTTTGATAACAAAGTTGCGCCTGGGCTAGGCACAAACTCAAGTGTTTACAAATTAAAAGTCGCAGTCAAGAACAACTATTAAAACTGTTTTTTTTTTCTTTTTAAAATCAAATTTGTGCCGCCATAAGGCAGGAAGAGTGTGTTCAGTAAGTGGTAAAACCCGAATTTGATTTTGTGGTATAAATCGGAAAGACGTTCTCACTTCTCCGTTGAGACCTGGTGCTGCTTCAACCATTACTGAAATTAATAATTCATAAAACTAACGGATGATTTAGAAGTACGACACAGCCAGGAGGACTGCTGATGTGGCACCCTGTGCCCACACTTTGTTTTGTGGGAGACGAATTTAGCTAGTGTTTACAGACTCTGCCTATTCTGTTTTCTTAGAGTTTCTAATTTTATGCTCCCTCAGCTTCCCTCCAGCTCTCTCTACCTTTTGTATACCAAGTGCTCCTCAACCCAGGAGCCAAGCATTTGCTGAGACTTTCAAATGGATTCCTTTCCACTTGATTAGTTGAGTTTACGGGGTAATTGCAGGCTTATTTAAGCATCAAAAGCTAGCTTAACTGATTTGGGTGAAACACTGAAAGTAAGTATACAATTCTTATCTGCCCTAAGTCAGGATGCAGAATGTAATTAAGCATCTTTTGATGGTCTAGACTCACCATTTTGTGACTTTGACTTGCTGTGAGCCCCTATAACCACCTGGGATCTTGTACAGACTGTTGGGCCCAGTGCTAAACAACAAACTTACTCCTTTGCACTTTGCAGTTATTTTATTAAGTTTGAGTTCTCCTGATTGTTACTGAATTCGGGCTTGAAACTGTGATTAGTGTTAACTTTCACCTTCCTCTTTCTCATTTGTATTTCCAAAAACGGTGGAAATCATCTAAATTTGTGATTTGTCATAGGGGAAATCAGTGGGCTCACAACTTGAATATAAGTTGTTGTTCTTTTTCTTTTTGTTTTTACAAGACAGGTTCTTACAATGTAGTTCTGGCTGTCCTGGAACTCACTTTGTATATCAGGCTAGCTTTGAATTCACAGAGATCTACCTGCCTCCCCAAGTGCTAGAATTAAAGGCATGACCCATTCCCCTAGCTAAAGTCTTTTCTTAAGAAAAGTAAATGAAAAGTATTTTACATTGTAATACCTGTATTTATTGTTCACAGGCCCTTTCTTTTGTGATTTGCTTTGGTTTATTTAGCTCAATTGCCAGAGTATCCTGGGAAAGCTAATTGTTTAGCATACTGTCAATGTGTGCTTTTAAGGTCTGTTATTTTGAGTGTTTGTCATTGTTTTTCGTATAGTATTTGTGAAACATTTGCCGATGAATATATACTTAAAATTTGTTGGTTGTGTAATCATTAAAATCCTCTAAAATATAAAATCCTCTGAATTCCTCTAATATATAATTTGTTCGGTTTGTTACCTGCCATTGTTCTTTGTCTTGCATTTTAAAGACAAGAACTTAACCTCCTCACCCTGTGGTACAGGGTTTGAATTTAAAGTGATCTTCCTGCCTCGGCCACCTGGCTGCTGGGATTATAGGCCTTACTTAGCTTGTTGGTTTGTTCTTGTAATTCATGGTAGCTCCTAAGATCTCTCTCTCTCTCTGTTCTCCCAAAGGACTCTTGAAAAAAAAAGGGAAAAAGGGCTCTGGACATCCTGAGATCTTACTTACAAGTTTTGCAACTTACTGATTTAGCCTGTCTCTGCTTCAGTCTCCTGATCTATGAATCGGTGAGAAGGGCCAAGTACAGGCTGTAGGAGAATGAATGAGCTAATCAGGCTTGGAATATTGCAGGAGCAGACTTGTATGTTCAAAGATCTCTGCAGTTCACTAACTTGTAAATGAATGCAGAGTATTGCCTTTCAAGAGTAAGATGATTTTGTGTTAACACAGAAATTGAATTCTGTATAATATAACTTGGCAAAAATTGTTTTTCAATATTGCTTATACTGTGAGAAAATTTTAATTGCTTGAGAAAAACTTAAGAATTTCTACTACTAGAGACATTGAAGGTTTGTGTTGTGTTAATGTTTTTAGTTTCTACATTAAATGTAGAGGGAAATACCTGTCAACTTTTTTTTTTTTTTTTTTTTTTAAGATTTTACTTGTTATGTATACAGTCTTCTGCCTGCATGCCAGCAGAGGGCACCAGATCTCATAACAGATGGTTGTGAGCCACCATGTGGTTGCTGGGAATTGAACTCAGGACCTCTGGAAGAACAGTTAGTGCTCTTAACTGCTGAGCCATCTCTTCAGCCCGACTGTCAACTTTTAAGGTACTCATGTGAAGGCTGTAGGAAGAAAGGGTTTTAGGCAATTAAGAAAGGCAATACCTTTTAAAAAATACTTATTTATGTACTTTATGCATTTGGGTGTTTTGTCTGCATTTACATTTGCACAACAGAAGAGGGCCTCAGATCCATGGCATTGCAGTTATAGATGGCTGTGGGTTGTGAGCTGCTATGTGGGCGCTGGGAATTGAGGTCTAACTCAGGACCTCTGTTAGCGCCGTCAGTGCCCTTAACTGCTGAGTTATCTCTCTAGCCCCCAATCCTTTTTTTGCTCTCAAAAATACAGATAGGTATTTTGGAGTGGAATAAGACACAATGAATGACTCTCTCTATATATTTGAAAAGCTAAGCAGATACTTAAGACTTAACATTTCTCTTAATTTTAGATAAGAATTTTTTTTTTAAGTTTTTACTGTTGTAGCTGGCTGAACAATAAAATTTATGCCCATGAAAATAGTTGAACCTTTTATTGTCAGATAAAAATGTGTAGGTTTTTGGATTACTGTAATGACTTATGTATCGATTGACTGACTGACTGATTGATGTGTGTGTGAACAAACTCTAGTGCCCACAAGCTGTGTGTGAAGGTACATGTACTAGTGTGCATATGTAGATTCCAGAAGAGGGTGCTCAGTGCTTCTTCAACCTCTTTACCAATTCCTTTGAGGCAAGGTCTTTTTCTGAACCCTGGGGATCATGTTTTCCTGGCTAGGATTAAAGACTGAGGCTCAGCAATTCTGTCTCTGCGTCCTTGGGAGTCATGGGTGCCTGTGGTGGCCCCAGTTTGTTACATGTGTTCTAGGATCTGAACTTCGGGCCTCAGGATTGCAGAGCAAGTGCTCTTAACTTCTGAGCTTATCTCTCTAGCCTCTGTGTACAGACAGACAGATGCCTTATCTGACACACTGATAATTTCAGGGTTAAACATCCATATAGGCACCTGTTTTCTCACCTACTTGGGAACGAGTGTAGGAGGTGATCATGAATTCCAGGGGAGCTTGTACATAGCAAGACTGTTTCAGAAATTCATGATTGGGAGAAGTATAGATAGATACTTTGTTTTTTCCAGAACTTGAAGGTTTTGTGGTAGCAGCAAGCATACACTTTGCCTAATGGATCCTCTGTGGGACAGACTATTGACGCTATTTTGTTTTGTTTTGGGTTTTTCGAGACAGGGTTTCTCTGTGGCTTTGGAGGCTGTCTTGGAACTCACTGTAGACCAGGCTGGCATCGAACTCACAGAGATCCGCCTGTCTCTGCCTCCCGAGTGCTGGGATTAAAGGTGTGAGCCACCACCGCCTGGTTGATTGGTGCTATTTTACAGCATCAAAATTACATATAAATTTCTGCAAAACAGTAAAATTTGCTTTGAAAGTATTTCGTGTGTGTATAAAACACACCAATCATAACTTACTTATTTTTTGAGACCAGGTTTCCACTCTGTAGCCCTGGCTGGCCTAGAATTCACTGTGTAGATCAGGCTTGCATTGAACTCACCATTCTGAGTGTTGGGATTACAGGTGCCACCTTGTTTGGCTGAAGTTGTTTTTAATAGAACTTTATAGTTGGCTTAGATGATAAATGTACTTCTATAGTGAGTGATTTTTTTTCGTTTGCTTTGTAACTAACACTATACCCATTTATACAGATAATATTTTTTAAAATATTTTTATTTAATTTGCATTGGTATTTTATCTGTATGTATGTATGTATGAAGGTGTCAGATCTTGGAGTTACAGACAGTTGTTAGCTGCCATGTGGGTGCTGGGAATTGAACCAGAGACCTTTGGAAGAACACTCAGTGCTCTTAACAGCTAAGCCATCTCTCCAGCCCACAAATAATATTTTTAAGTATAGATATATTGTGATTTACCAAGCAGTTTCAGAGCATAAAAAAGAAAAGTTTTCTTTCAAAGTTGAAACACGATAATTTAAGTCTACTTAATTAGAATATGTTGGTTCATGATCAGATTATTAAAACTTTTTAAAGTTTGAACACCTGTAATTCTGTAAAATTAATATCTAATATATAGACTCGACATAAATAAATAATAGTCACTCATGAAGTCTTCCTAGGTGAGGTAGGGGACAGAACATAAGTTTGGGAAACTTAGATAGAGGTTCATATGTGCCTAGAGTCAGCATGTGAGCTATATATATATGTGGCAAAATGCAGTGTGTAGAAAGATAGGTGGAGCAGGTGAGATTGGTGTGGGAGTGAGATGGTAGTTAGTGGCAAGTACTAGGTACAAGTTCAGACCGAAATCCTGGGGGAAATGAGAGGAAATGGGGTTTGGCAGGAGCCCTCAAAGACCTAGCATAGGGAAAGGAAGTAAGGTAAGGGCCAGTATTTTTCTTTTCTCTTTAATTACTGACAAGATGCTCGAGCCTCTCTGTTATAGACCTTATACTGCATAGTATATGTCTTGAGATTATATTAGTCAATGGTAGTGGTTGAATGTATGAGTATGGTGATCATCAGTAGCTCTGGGTTTTAAAGCAGTCCTCTGCTTCTCAAAATGCTTGAGACTATTGCTTTGTTACAGTCTAGCATCCCCTCTTACTTAGTCCTGGTGAT